CAAATGAAAGTTTAGATACTAAAATGAAATAAAATTGATAGTTTATATACTAAACGTATTAAACAAAAATGTTATTCGAATAAAACAAAATTTTCCGATATGGATTAATATGTTTCAATGATTAAAAGAATAATTATTATTTAAAGGGATTTTAAGTTTAATTTATTAAAATATTTAAACATTTACTACTAAATAATTAATTTTTTAAATTAAATATTATCTTTATAAAAATCTCAATCTAATAAAAGAAAACGATTTTCCACCAAGATGACAATAACAGCCATTGACTTGACTTTAATATGTACTGTAAAGTCAATTTTATTTCTTCAATTAATCAACAAACATCCCACAGTTTTTACAGTCACCGCCGCCATCTCCGCCCATGTCTTCTCCAAAGCCTCAAAGCCCCAACAAAGTTCACCATTTCCTCTTCCCCAGAGCTCAATCCTCCGTCCTGCCCGACCCTTCCCGTTTCTTTTCCCCGAACCTCCTCTCATCCCCTCTCCCCACCAACTCTTACTTCCAAAACTTCGCTCTCAAAAATGGCTTCCAACCAGAGTACATCCACCCTTATCTCATCAAATTGGCCGACTCTTCCCTTTCCATCTGCTACCCATCTATCTGCAACAACCCTTCTGTCGTTTACCAAATCTTCGACCCTGATCTTACCATCTGTGCTACTGATAAAACATGCCCAAGCCATGTAATCTCTTCTTACAGTGATCTCAGTGTTACTTTGGATTTCCCCTCTTCGAACCTACGTTTCTTTCTTGTCTGAGGTTGTCCCTTTTTGACTTGTTCTGTAACGGGGAATATTCCGATATCAATTTCTCCTAGTCACGCGATTATCTCGTTTTCTTCGAATAGTTCCCTCACCAAGCATACTGTTAAGCTTAACAACGGTCAAACATGGCTTATTTATACGTCTTCATCCGTCAGTTTTAGTCATGGTCTTTCTTCGATTGTTTCCGGTGTTCGGGTATTATTCGGATTGCTGTGCTACCCGGTTTGGATCCAATATATGAATCCATTCTGGATCAGTTCAGTTCCTGCTACCCAACCTCAGGTGATGCAGTTTTAACTAAACCGTTTTGTTTGGAATATAAATGGGAAAAGAAAGGGTGGGGTGGTTTGCTTATGCTTGCACACCCACTTCATCTTGATATTTTAGCTAGTGACTGTTGTGATGTTAAGGTTTTAGAGAATTTTAATTATAAAAGCATTGATGGGGAGCTTGTTGGTGTTGTTGGTGATTCGTGGGTGTTGAAACCGCACCAGGTTTCGGTAACTTGGCATTCTATTAAAGGGGTTAAGGAAGAATCCTACGCTGAGATTGTGATTGCCCTTGCTAAGGACGCTGAGGCCTTGGATTCATCGGCTATAACGACGACATCGTCTTATTATTACGGGAAGTTGATTGCGAGAGCAGCGAGGTTGGCGTTGATTGCTGAAGAAGTGAGCTGTCTTGATGTGATTCCAAAAATAAAGACGTTCTTGAAGGATACAATTGAGCCATGGTTGGATGGGAGTTTCAATGGGAATGGTTTTTTGTATGAATCAAAATGGGGTGGCATTGTGACTAAACAAGGCTTAGCTGATTCAGGGGCAGATTTTGGTTTTGGAGTTTATAGTGGCCACCATTCTCATATCGGTTACTTCCTTTATGGAATAGCTGTCTTGGCCAAGATCAATCCGGCTTGGGGAAGGAGGTGTAAGCCCCAAGCTTACTCGCTCATGGCAGATTTCATGAACCTAGGCAGGCATTCGAATTCAAATTATCCACGTTTGAGGTGTTTCGATTTGTACAAACTGCATTCTTGGGCCGGAGGGTTGACTGAATTCATAGATGGAAGGAACGAAGAAAACACTGGTGAAGCAGTGAATGGATATTACTCTGCTGCACTAATGGGGTTATCCTATGGAGACACCCATCTAGTTGCAATCGGATCAACTCTTATGGCATTAGAGATTCAAGCAGCACAAGCATGGTGGCATGTGAAGGAGGGAGATAATCTATATGGAGAAGAATTCACACGAGAGAACCGAGTCATGGGCGTCTTGTGGGCGAACAAGAGGGACAGCGGCTTTTGGTTTGCTCCACCTTACTGGAGAGAGTGTCGGCTCGGAATCCAATTGCTACCCGTAATGCCTATCAGTGAGGTGGTGTTCTCGGATATCGAGTTTACTAGAGGGCTAGTGAACTGGACACTGCCGACACTGGAAAGGGATGACGTGGGAGAGGGATGGAAAGGGTTTATGTTTGCCTTGGAAGCAATTTATGACAAAGAAAGTGCTTTGGAGAAGATAAGGAACCTGAAGGGTCATGATGATGGGAATTCACTCACAAATCTCTTGTGGTGGGTTCACAGCAGAAGTGATGAACTCGAAATCGAACATGGTGCTGAGGGAAAATATTTCTGGTTTACTCACTGCTTTGCTCTTACATATTTGTTGGAAAAAATAAAATTTTGGAAACTTGCAGTGAAGGTATAATTTTATATTCTTATCCATAAGACTTTTATAGTACTATGTTAAGTAAAAAATAAAAAATTGATATTAAAGTAAGTTATTTGTGAATTATGTTGAGGAAAATGAATAGTGTTGAATTATATTTTGATATAACAAATTAAGGTAAATTGTTTTTTTAGACTTAAATTTAATTTATTTAAAGTTTTTAAAGTTTTTAAAAATAATTCAAAGACCATTAAAAGTGAATTTGAGCACAAAACTGATTTTCAACATTCGTAGTACCGATATTGTTCTTATAATATTCATATTCACCATTTCAAAATCTTATTTTTTTTAATTAAATCTTATTAAAATAAAATTTAATATAAAAGGAATTAAAAGTGAACACCTATTATGTATAATACAAATTTATTTTAAATCAAAAAATTAAAAGAATAATATTTTTATTTAAAATTGCATGAAAGGACCTCAGTAAATGGGAAAGACGAATTTAAAATCGTTTATAATAAATAATGAACTAAACCCATCAAGTGTTTTTAGTGATAAAAGGAAATATTATTCTCTTTAGAGATCTTGAGTTCGAGCAGTTACATCAACGGAATATGTGTGCAACATCTTCAATTAAGAAAAATCTAAACAAACATTATTAAAATATTTCAATCCTTAAAATTATGAACAATTATTACGAATTTAAAACCGTAATTATGTAAAAAAAAATAATTTCGAAAGACCTATTTTGATCTTTTATTATCATAATTTTAATCCTTAAAATATGTTTTTATTCTCATTATAAATTTAATTTTCAATTGAACTTTTATACTCTAGAATATTTATAATTAATATTAACTAATCTTAAATTAATCCGACTCGTTTGGCCCCGTCCCATCCCATTCATCTCACATGTCGAAAAAAAGTTACTATCATATTTTACTTTTTACGGTTCGTGTTTTAATAATGAATTAAATGATATTCGTAGTAAAAGAATTATTGTTATTTTTTGAGGACTTGGGTTCAAGTACTATAGATGTCAGGGGTGTGAGCGTTCAACGTCAGGAGATTGAGAGTTATCTTTGAACAAATATTATCTTATACTTACCCAAAATTAATAAAAAAAAACACAATTTGTGTTTTAAAAACGTAGATGGTAACTAGACTCTATCCCACCTTCTTTTTTTTTTATTCTTTAGAATTTTTATCATCTTCTATAGATAAGATCACTTTTTTCTTCTTTGATTTTGTTTAGTTAGCGATGGTATCGATTTTGATGTTGGTTGCTAATCGCGGTTCTCTTTTCTACCTTTATAGCACATTTTTCGTCTTCTTTCTCAGTCGCTTGGTCGTTCTTTTTATTTTAGTTTTCTTAAGGTTGAATTTGATGACGCAATAACTGATCAAGATAATGTTTATTTGTAATCTTATTGATCTTTCTTGATATTTACCTTCAGATTAAATTTGGATACATAATTTTGAGTTCATGGATAGTTTTTCACGACGCTCGGCTCTGATTTGCGGTTCTCGATGGTCTTTCGATAGCTTAATCACCTTATGTGGTTCGGTTTACAATGCAATCGGATTTGATCATATCTATTTTTGTTCGAGTCTTTTGATTGGCTTTTTTACCTTTTGCATGTATGGTCTTTATATGATCTAAAATGACTAGTTTCAACGTTATAAGAAAATATCCGAATTATGTATTTAATTTATAATTATAGTTATATACCTTTATTATATTTTTAAATATTTTTACTTTTTAATAAGCTAGTGACTTCTATTAAAAAAAACGTAGATGATAACTATTTGGAAAAAACATGTACATGGAAACTATTTAAAAAAATAATTGTATATGGAAACTATATTTTTTTCCAAACAATATATGGAAACTGTTTTAAAAAATGAGTTATTTGTATTATATTTCCTCAAAGTATGACTATTGTTTTAAATTGATCATCAAACTTTTAAATATTCTAATTTCATTACTAAATTAAATTAATCCTCGAACTTTTGAACATTCCAATTTCATCCTTAAACTATGACCTTCATTTTAAATTGGTCCCCAAACTTTTTGAACATTCCAATTTTATCTCAAACTATAAATATATACTAATCATTTCCCTTGCTAATAAAATGTATAGGCCAAGTTATATTATTGTATGTTTGAAAAATAAAATTTAGGTTAAACTATGGTTGAAACTAATTACATATTTGGATGAATTTGAGCATAAAATTAGAATATTCAAAAGTTTGGGGATCAAATTAGAAAGAGGGTCATATTTTAGGGATGAAATTAGAATATTTTGAAGTTTACGGACTAATTTAGAACGAGAGTCGTAATTTAGGATAAAATTGGTGTATTCAAAGTTTAATGATCAATTTAAAATGAATATTATAATTTGATGACATATGATACAATTAACTCGAAAAAATTGTATATGGAAAGTGGTAACTGTAATCTAGTCTTTAATGTTTTGCAACACAATTGGCAAGTATAAATGCGTAATAGATGTTACATATTTTGTATCCGCTCACCTCCATCTACTCTAACCCATCTCTCAACGCATTCCAAACTATGGCTTCTTTCGGTGTTGCTTCTCTTCTCGTCCTTTTGCTCATAGCTTTTTGTAAGTATATTCAATCTTTCTCTACCATTGCATACGTATAAACGTAATAGTTTTCTTTCGTACGAGAGGTATTGTATTCTGAAGCAAGGATGGACCGAAGGAAACTATATTATAAATTATGATCAGTTTTCGCTTCTAAAATTTTATAAATTTATTCATCTAACATAAAATTTCGCATTCCTCCCTATTCTGTAAGAAAATAGTTTCAATCGTCCCGTGAGATTCAAGCCCATGTATATTAATGAATTAAATGATGGTTTAAATTTGCAGGTGTATCAAACTCGGAAGGAAAATCATGTACAAGAGACGTAGACTGTACGTTCGTCAAGTGTCCGCATGGCAGCAACTATTGTGACGGGAAAACCCATACATGCCAGTGCTACTGGCGTGGACCTCCCTCTAGCATTGCACCGATGGTGGATGCTAAAACTAAGTGCGGCAACGATGCCGACTGCGCCGTGGTTTGTCCACCACATTGCAAAGCATATCACTGTCAAAATGGCGTTTGTTTGTGCCAGTGTGGTGCCTGAAAAACATGTACTGAGTTTCGTTCTAAGGACCCACAGTTTGCGTCTTTTAATAACGCCGTCGTTTATAAATTTGTACCAATTTGTTGAATAAAAATGGTGTCGAGAAAATTGATTTATCTTCTTTATACATCGTCTCAAAATAAATTCAAATCCGATCTAAACTAAAATCTGTTTTAATATTAAGATGTTATCCAATTAGAGTTTTTTTTTTCGACAACCAACGATTTTCTTTTAATATCTTCATCGTCCTAATTTCAGGTCTCATTACCTCTCCTCTTTTTGCTTTCGTAGTTGGGGTTCACAAATCTGCATTCTTTTGGTTCGGCTTACAGGAAGGAAAGCAACAAAAATGGGATGACAAATGACGGTGTGATGGTTGAATAGTGGAGGAAGGTAATGAGAGAAGAAACATAAAACCGGCTATAATATAAACAGTAAATTATACGAAAAGTCTCTAGAGTGTTGTTTTGTTGAATTCCTATATTATTTAAAGTTACAAATTTGTCTTTTGATATGGGGTGATACTTTATTGAGTCCCCGATTATTAAAAGTTACAGAATGGTCACCCAATTATGGGATGACGATCGTCTAAGCTAGACGTTAATCTGCTGACTGAGTTATGATAAAATCTAATCTCAAAATCTCAAATGATTATACAATTCAAACGATTATGGGATCATATATTATCATATCTCAGACAACAGGTTAGCGTCTAGCTCAAACGACCATCAATTTTTTAACGAAAAATTGCGAGTTTTGAACATATGAATAGTCAGACCATTTTGTTACTTTTAGTAGTTGAGAGACTAACAGAATAGTACCCTATAATCATATGATCATTTTGTAACTTTTAATAGTTGAATGACTCAAGAAAACAACAACTTATAGTCGAGGACCGTTCATATATTTTACCTTAATATAAATTAAATTTATATAATATTTAAATATGAATGGTTAAATTTTTAGAATTAAGATTAAATTCTAATAATACGCAAACGTTAAGGATTATATTTATTGTCATGTCACTATAATTAATTTTTTTGTATGAAAATTAACTATTGATAAACATTTTATAATTTTGGGTAACTCAAATCATTAATTGACGATATTTTATACTCGAGTGACCCAACTAAAAAATATCCTGTAAACAAAGGGTTTCAAAAATGATTTATGAATATATTTTATAACTTCCGTCAACATGCTATTAACACCTCTGTCGGTGATTGAAGGCCTACAGAACTTTCATTCTCTGTAATTTTTCACATACGTGATTGCAAAACAGACAATTTTAGAATATAATAGAATTTCTTTTTTTAATAAACAAAATTCACAATATCAAATAAAATAATATACTGTCATTAAAATAATATTTATGATATTTAATTAGTTTTGTAACTGTTAATTTTTTTTACTCTTTTACCCTCGTTTTGGGCATACAAAGAATGTTAATTTCGCTTCTAAGTGATACACATATTAGAGCAACTCTCTTTTATCTTCCCTTATCCCTTGCTTAAAGTTTTGTTTTTACTTTTTGGAATATTGTTTTCTGAACGTTGGATTCTAAGTGGGAGAAAATAAATATTGTTAACCTCAATTCATTTTTTTATAAGAGTAATATCGATTCATTTTTATTTTAATATTTGGGTATACGATTATTGAAGAGGTGTGTTAATCTTGGAAACAACACCATAACGGATTGACTACAAGAATGATTGGATCGTATATTCGGGCTGCTCAAATCATATGACGGGTGACAAACAGAAGTTGCAAAACCTATCTAAGTACAATGGAGGTCGTGTGGTGGTGACAGCTGATAACTTAAGGTTACCGATAACTCACATCGGTAAGACGATAGTTACGCCTCGATATAATACTAACCAGGTGCAACTCCAAGATGTTTACCATGTCCCAGGAATGAAGAAAAATTTGCTATATGTGGCTCAACTAACATCATCAGGTCATTATGTCTTATTTGGTCCCCAAGACGTGAAGGTTTATCGTGACGTCAAAATCTAAAAAACACCAACAATGGAGGGACGACGTTTGGAGTCAATTTACGTGATGTCAGCAGAGTCTGCATATGTAGACATGACAAGGAAAAATGAGACATCAGATCTATGGCACATGCGGTTAGGTCACATTAGTTATTCCAAGCTAAGTGTGATGGTGAAGAAGTCGATGCTTAAGGGGCTTCCTCAACTAGACGTGAGAACAGACACGGTCTGTGCGGGATGCCAGTATGGTAAAGCACACCAATTACCATATGACGAGTTGAAGTTTAAAGCAAAAGAACCATTGGAGTTAATTCACTCTGATGTGTTCGGATCGGTTAAGCAACAGTCAATTAGCGGTATGCGGTACATGGTAACATTCATTGATGATTTCTCCAGGTATGTGTGGGTTTTCTTTATAAAAGAAAAATCTGACACTTTCTCAAAGTTTAAAGAGTTCAGAGACTTATCTGAAGGAGAAGTGGGAAAGAATATATGCTGCTTCCGCACAGACAACGAAGGAGAATATAGATCAAACAAGTTCTCTCAATACCTAAGGGAATGTTGAATACGTCATCAGTACACTTGTGCCAACATGCCACAACAAAATGGTGCAGCGGAAAGAAAAAACGGCATCTTGCAGAAATTTGTCGAAGTATGCTACATGCAAAGAATGTACGTGAAAGATTTTGGGCTAAAGCAATGAGGACTGCAGCCTTTGTGATCGACAGACTTCCTCAACCAAGGTTAGGATTTGTTTCACCCTTTGAGAAACTATGGAACATAAAACCTACAGTTAGCTACTTTCGAGTATTTGACTGTGTATGTTATGTGTTTGTTCCTGATCATTTACGGAGCAAATTTGACAAGAAAGTTGTTAGATGTATCTTTGTGGGATATGACAGCCAGAGAAATGGGTGGAAATATTGTGATCCAATTAGTGGAAGATGCTACACGTCACGAAATGTGGTATTTGATGAAGCATCTTCTTGGTGGTCCTTAGAGAAGGAGATGTTGCCAGATTCGAGAGAATTTGGAGACAAGCTACAACAAAAGATGGGGGATCATGCTGTTCAACTCCAAACAAGTTCAGATGAATCAGAAGATCCAAATAGCGATGATGTCAAACAAAGAGTGACTCAGAATCCTAGATAAACTGGCGTGTATCAACAACCAAATGAAGAAGGTGGGCCCAGTGAAACAGAATAATCAATTCCACAATCTCAACTCCGAAGGTCAACAAGAATACGAAGGCCAAATCCTAAATATGCCAATGCAACCATAATTGAAGAAGTAACAGAGCCTGAGACGTTCGAAGAAGCATCGCAAAGTTCTGAGTGGATGACAACTATGAAAGAAGAGATCGATGCACTTCAGCAAAATCAAACTTGGGATCTTGTGCCAAAGATAAAAGATATGAAACCCATATCTTGCAAATGAGTTTACAAGATAAAGCGTCGTCTAGATGGGTCAATCGAAAGGTACAAGGCACGATTGGTAGATCATGGTTTCTCTCAACAGTATGGACTAGACTATGATGAAACATTTAGTCCAGTGGCAAAACTTACAACCGTACGAGTCCTACTTGCACTTGCAGCCAACAAAGACTGGAATTTGTGGCAGATGGATGTGAAGAATGCTTTTCTTCATGGAGATCTAGATCGAGAGATCTACATGACCCAACCAATGGGTTTTCAGAGTCAAGATCATCCTGAGTATTTGTGTAAGCTGCGAAAAGCACTATACGGAATGAAACAAGAACCTAGGGCGTGGTATGATAAGATTGTTGAATTTCTAACGAAAAGTGGCTATTCAGTAACACCTGCAGATTCTAGCTTGTTTTTCAAAGTCAATGAATGTAAGCTAGCTATCGTGCTAGTGTACGTGGATGGCTTAATTATAATCGGTGATGATGAGGCAGCAATTCTTCAGACAAAGGAGAATTTATCAGTTCGTTTCCAGATTAAGGAACTTGGACAACTTAAGCACTTCCTTGGTCTAGAGGTTGATCGCACACACGAAGGAATATTTATGTGTCAACAGAAATATGCTAAAGATTTGTTGAAGAGGTTTGGAATGCTCGAATACAAGCCAACTTCAACTCCAATGGAACCAAATGTCAAAATGTGTGCACATGAAGGAAAAAATTTGGAAGATGCAACAATGTATCGATAATTGGTAGGTAGTTTGATCTACTTAACTTTGACCTGACCTGACATTTCTTATGTAGTTGGTGTGATGAGTCGATATATGCAAAATCCAAAGAAGCCTCATTTGGAAGTAGTTCGACGAATACTGAGATATGTGAAGAGTACAATTGACTATGATCTTTTGTACAAGAAAGGTGGAGACTGCAAGTTAGTTGGTTATTGTGATGCTGATTATGCAGGAGATCATGACACCAGGAGATCAACAACTGGGTATGTGTTTAAGCTTGGCTCCAGAACAATTTCTTGGTGTAGCAAGAGACAACCAACGATATCATTGTCAACCACTGAAGCTGAGTATCGAGTAGCAGCAATGGCAGCTCAATAGAGTACATGGTTGATACAGTTGATGAATAATCTACATAAACCAATAGATTATGCAATTCTTTTGTACTGTGACAACCAATCAACAATTCGGCTGGCGGAGAATCTTGTTTTTCATGCAAGAACTAAACATGTGGAAGTACATTACCACTTTGTTAGGGAAAAAGTTTTGCAATAAGAGATTGAGATAAGGCAAATCAAGACAGATGAGCAAATTGCTGACTTGTTTACAAAAAAACTTGAGTGTTGGAAAGTTTGAACATTTCCGTCGTCAGCATGGCGTGATTCAAAAAATAGAGGCTAACATTGAGGGGGTGTTGAAAATTTAATATTAGCCTAAATAAGTTCACACATAAATTAATTTGATGTCATTGCTTACATCAATTTAGTTAGGTGAAAATTAAGTATTTTTCTCATGTTTTAATTTTAATGGTTTAGATTATTTAGTGCTTATTTTAATGAGTGGTTTAGATTTTTT